TAACATTGCAAATAATAGGGCGTCGGATGCCCGTTAGATTGTCTTACACGACTTGACGGTTGACAGAGCTCTTTTCCTTTACAAGAAAACACAGACGAAAATGTCACCGCAGCTGTCGTACATTTTTGACAGCCTTTTTTCTCTCAGTAACATTTTTTTTTCTCTTCCACTGTCCACAAAAAAAGATAAGCTCTGTATAGAAAAAGAGTGTGAGAGGTGCAGAGATGGAATCATTTTGTAGTTTCAGTAAGATTCGCCATTTGTCTAAATAATAATTCTGACAAAAAAAAAAATCAACAACAACAACAAAAATAAAACCACAGCAGCAACAACAACAAGGCTTCAAGCTGGTGTTTGAAAAAGGACATATCATCCCCTGCTGTCACCATGGAAACTAAATTATATTAGTGATTCCTCTTGCCTCGCACTCAAAAGAGAAAAAAATCCAATTCGTGTTGGTGTGCATGCCTGGCAGCTGCTACTCTCCCTCTCTCTATCTCTTACTTTACACATTCTCTCTCTCTCTCACACACACACAGACAAACACAGACGTGCTCGTCACTATATTTATGAGTATATGTACTGTAAAGTATGTACATGGCGACAACACAACCGTGACGCTTCTTTTCATGACACCGGACGTTCGCACACGCCGGCGAATCTCGCTCCGGATCTGTTCTCATTCCCACAGTTACTAGCGCTCTCTGGCTATTTCAGCCCCATCCACTGCGATAATTGTTTCAACTCCTTCTTCCCCCTCCTTCCCACGTCTGTGCTCTACATGTTGCCATGGAAACTGGCTACAATTGATTGAACGTGAACACCACCATGATTGAGAAATGTGCGACTGGCAAATGCCGGCACATTCAAACACGCGCAGACGTTTAAAGCACACGTTAGTATGCGTAGCACGTTTGATGCTGGGGGGGGGGGGGGGGGGTGTCACAGGGAGATATATTTATTTATATTACGCATTGCTCAAAATCGCCCACTGGCCCAGTCATATCCATTTTTTGACAAGCTTGCCAACTAGTGCATGCATTTTATCATTAGCTTTTGCCTAGAGTGCCCTCTAGCGGCTGTCAGTGCGAACAACAAACAACAAACGTGAAAAAATTATATATTTTGATATACAAATTCGCACCTGAGTATAAGTCGCAAAACCCAGCCAAAGGATGAGAAAAGTGCGACTTATAGTCTGGAAAATACGGTAGTTGGTCAAAGGTCCTACCTAATCTTTTAAGTTAGAAGCGATCTGCGTTGAATGTTATGAGTTGTTTTGTTGTTTCAGTGTAGCTAACTTTAACTAGAAGATGATTTATATTCAAGTGAAAGAATAGAGTTGTTTTCGATTGTATGTGGTGTTTTAGAATCATAATTTTAAGATTAAGATTTAAGATTACAAATTAGATGCAAAAATATTTTTAAAAATTTTAATATAAAATAATATAATTTTTTTAATTACTAGAGATTTCAGGTGATCCCATTGAATTCCAGGCGACCTCACATGGGGTCACGACCCCAAGGTTGAGAAAGCGGTTCTGTCAGTAGAAATAAAAGAGAGATGGAGGTAACAGGAATGGCTTAGTTGCATTTCCGAAGGCAAATATTATCAGTTCATACCATATTATTATTATAAACTATTAAATTATGATTATCGAGTATTCAAAAGAGGAGCATCTAACATTTGTCAAAGTCTAATACTAGTAATCACATTTTTAAATTGCTCTCAAAATGAACATCTGCAGCACTGTTATATTTATATGTTCATGTATAAAGAAGGGTTGACTTGAGAAGCGATGTAAAATATCTGCTTACAATTTAACAAAACAAACACACGCTGAAATATTAATATGACATAAACGCCCAAGTCTATGAACGCACCATGAATCCTGTCAACGTGTCATTACTATGAGCTTTTTACAGCTTTAGCCAAGTGGAAAAACAACACAAATGCTGCGTAGGCGCGACGTCAGAGGTCGGCTGTTTAAAAGGGTGAAAACTAGCGTGCATCTGCAGAGTGTGTCGCCTGTGTGCTTAGACTTGAATGCGTTCCAGAGACACGTTTAGAGCAAAAAACTGACTGATCTGATGTACATTCCTATTTTGGAAAATACAGATGGATCTATGCATTGAACTATGTAATTTTAAAAAAAATGTATTTAATGAAATGTATATGTTGCTCCATATTGTCTACAGTGTAGAGTGGTGTCCTGTTTTGTATAGTTATTATCTGTATTTGAAATTCTAAATACATGTAACAGGTAAGAAATTATTCCGTAAAATGATATGACAGAAACAATATCAGCTAGCTGTCTACGATGACGAAAAACAAGACACTTAACCACGTTCTTCAGTCAAAGTTTTGCGTGAAAAAATCCAGGTTTTTGAAGAACTGTTGTAATAAAGTACCAACAAAAACAGGGTCAATTCTTACCTGGCTGTTTGTCCCCATGTATTGAGAACCATTACCAACAAGAAAGTCCATTAAAAATGCAATATTCAACCATGGCTTACAGCCGAGTCACTACCACCATTGTCAATTTAAAGCATTTACTTTTTTCACGGTCTGAGGTTCTTTATTTATTCTTTGATGAGGTACATCTTCACTCCAAGAGGCTTTATAGCCATTTTTTTTCTTATGCCCAAAATGCCGGTCACCTTTTCATTAGGACTTTGGAATCAAATCTTACCACCAACACCACACCGCTGTGGTTTATAAATTCTAAAACTTTAAAAAGTCAAACGTGAATATTTTCTTACAGTGCCAGTCGCTGTTATTACCGGAAGTCCGTGTTGACGCGTGTTTAGTTTTGTATACTTGGTCCACAACAGCATGTTTTCAAAGTGCTCAGTTCAGTTCCACGTGTCTCACCTCATCCTCAGTATATGTACGGGAAAATCCTATACGGAACACGTTGGCAGTAGGATTCCCACGCCTTTCCGTATTTAGCCCTGCACTGTCGCTCGTCGCGGGATTCTCGGTGTATCAGCAATATGGTGAAATATGTGACATAAAAGTAAGGCAGCAGGTGTGAGAATCCTAAGGAAAGAGACAGAGAGGTAGCTTAACTGTACATCACAGTGATAAACACTAATGAGAAAGTCTTATTCAGCTGTGACTAAACGCTAAACAGTGACGTCTCTATGCTTTTCTCATGTCACTACAACAACACACAGCCTGAAAAAGAATTATTTTTCAGAAAGCTGTCTTACCACATGGCAGGGACCAGGCAAAGGCCATGGCCAGGTCACCGAGATAATTGGGATGACGGACAAGACCCCACCAACCAGACACAAGCAACCGCTTCCCTGTTGCTGTGGCGATTGTCTCCAGTTCTACAAAAAAAAAAAAAGGTGTTTTTCTCAACACTAATCTTTGCTGTCTGTAATAATGAAATGTCTTTCTTTTCATGAACTTGTTAAAAATTAACTAACTTGCAACACTTGGATGTGTGGGATCTCGTCTAAACTGGTTTTTCTGTGAGTTGGATTTTCTGAAAATGTAATATCCAATACCTGAAAAAAAAAAAAAAAAGACAAAAAATGTTGCCATCACTCACGTAAACACTAATGAGGTCCTAACATGTTATTACCATTCAGTGTGATTATAGCTGCAGCTCTGAGGAGGCTTAGGTGCTGTGGATGCATGACCAGAAATATTGCCTGCAGGCTGTATGTAAACGGAACCCAGGCCAGGTCACCAAAGGCCAGCATGAAGCCAAAACCATCATGCACAATGTCCATGGTAGTCAGAACTGCTTCCTGTCAATTGAAGTCAGGGAAAAGTATGTTAAACGGTAGGACAGTTAAAACTCTCTGGAATTGTCTTTTGCTGCATACAGTAGTCTCTGAACTTCACCTCATTCCACAGAGCATCTGTAACATAAAGCAGCTGGAAACTGTTCACCAGGATCATGGCCAGGGAAGGAGAACCTCGAAGCTCCACCTCTTTCATCAACATGCCCAGGTTTATGACCACCTAACAGAAGTCAATGTCATACAGCAAATATTAGATTATTTCCTTAATTTAAACAAACAAACAAAACATCTTGAACAGTAAGTTAATATACATCTGAAAAATATAATATAATTCATATTTGTCCAACTGCCCGATAATCGTTAAGCAGTGGCAGTGAAGTGTCGAATGTGTAGATGTTTTTTAAAAGGAAGAGCTAATAAGACTCCCCAACTCTTTTACTGTTCTCAGTTGGTGATGTTCACAAACTTTCTCTCTTCTACCCACATGGCTTCATAAAATGAAAGACCTTGGGCAAAGCTCTGTACTCAACATGTCGGTTCCATAGTGTAGCGGTTAGCACGCCTGCCTTGGAAGCAGAGAGTTCCAACTACATGCTTGGCGCTTGCTAGGGGCAGCCTATTAAAAGCATATCGGCTGCTAACACAACAATTTCCCAAATATGGGATCAATATAGTTTTTTTTTTTAATATAAAGTCAGAGGAGAGAAAGGTGACAGAGCAACATCGCCCTCTGTTGGTCTGGTTCGGCTATGAAACAGAACATCATCAGTGTTGATCTAATTGAGATATGTCAAGCAAGTCTCATGTCTCATGATGGCACAAGGGAGAAGTTGTTATTAATAAAAGCTACAGAAAGTTTCTTGTACATTTTCTTCTGTTAAACACATGCATGTATTGTACAAAGCTCTGGATCAAGTGTAAATGGCACAATCAGAGTCATTAAGTATGGGAATAAACGTCGAACCCTTAAGACTGATAATCTGCAGAACAACTCACCCAGCCAATCAGACCTGGTCTGAGCTCACAGAAATATTTGAGATCAAAGTTTCCAATCCGGGGATTTAACTCTCGTCCGATATAAAAGTCATACAATGGGTTTCCTAAAAAAAAAAAAAAGGAAAGAAAAAGTTAAAGCAATATTTAATAATAATAATAATTACCAATAAATAATGAAAACAGCAAAACAAAAAGTGTCTTTTCCCCCTCTATTTTTGTGCAAAAATGTACATTTGATGAATCTTTATATTTAGTGAAATATAATTTTACAAAACATTTCCTGAACATGAAGAATTTGTGTATATTTTTTTTTAATTTTCAAAATTTATCAAGTGGGTTAGATTGAAACCCCAAGTGGGCAGTTTTTGGCTCGTGGGCCGTATGTTTGACACCCCTGATATATGTTACATATATTTGATGTTTTCTAACATAAGTCTTCAATCTGCCATAAAAAAATAAATAAATAAATAAAATAAAAAAATATTATGCAAAGTGAGAATGAAACAACTAACTCATTTTTAAACACCCAGAGCCATCCTTTAACCATAGATCAACACTTACCGGTGTTCCCCCCCGGAGCAAGAGCGTGGGGAGGAGCCGAGAAAGAGCGGATGTAGAGGTAGGTGGCGAGCAGAAATGACAGTACTGTTGCACATACTGCCAGAGGCAAAAGAAGCTCAAACAGATACCCAAAGGGAGCGCCGAGCACCAGAGACAGCATCAGCAACACGCTGGTAACACACAGGCCATGGAAACCTGAGAAAGACACAATGAGAACACACAAAACATGATCTAAGATCTGGGAATAGAAGAGGAAAAAAAAAACACGATGATTGACTAATAATATCATTTCTGATGTATAAAAGACCACATTGATTGAACTAAAAACTCAGTCATACCATTAATGGGATACTTGAGGCGCGTTCCATCTCTGAGCACTAATCCTTCAGACACCTGCAAGTTGTTTTCATGTTAATTACATGGTAACAAAAAACAAGAGCATAAACAACAAAAAAGGATGGCTGTTGCAGGTAAGGGAAAACTGAACTCAGTTTATTCAAAAATAGTTACATTAAATGACATGGACGACTGAGAACCTACACAGACATGAACTCACCTGTACTACTAAAATCTAACCTTTATTTAAAATGTGTTGAATAATTCTAAAAAAAACCAAACAACTGCAACATAAACTAAGAGCATATACTGCATATTATAATATGTTCAGCATTGTATATAGTAAACACCACACCTTCCCCAATGGCAGCAGATAGAGAAGAGCATGAAGAGCAAGCCATCCCAGCAGTATCACTGGGGCCACAGGATTCCACAGTCTTTCAGTGGATGGGAGTGGAGGAGGCCACTGAAAGACGGAGGCCTCGGGGGACTGACACAAGCAGATCAGTGACAGCACAGTTAAGGGGAGAAAGATTGGTATGAAAACTGCACCTATAAGACAAAAGTAAGGAAAAAAAAAACCCCATCAGACATGGTGACAACAGAGACAAATGATTAAATGATGTATGTAATTCAATGATTATGGATGCACCGAATATTTGGACACCAAAAATTTTCGGTTAACAATGGCCCAAACGGGCAATTTTGGTTTTATGCAATTGCAGTGCCTTGATTTTTCTGAGGTTTAGTACACAGACACACTCAAATATGGTACACTAATGACAATATTTATATTGGCCCAACCCCTCAAGTGTTTTGCTTCTACAGCAATGAGTTTCATTAGTTATATGAAATCATTTTTCTCTATTGTATTTACTGGAAAGAATATCTTGGTGCGTAATGGATAATCCCAAACGAGTTAAATAGAAAATTTGAAATGCTTAATAACTTGTGTTTAGCAAAAATATTTGTCAAACGCTTACTTATACTAAAAATTGTTTTCACACAAATGTCCAACAAACAAGACTTAACATTACAGTATTTGGCTTCGTATAAAGAGACAAAACATTTTTACAACAATAAATAATACCAAGTCAAATATGGTTCTCAGTAATAAACAGTGCAGTTGTTGTGCGGAACCATTAATATGTTTCAAGTTCAAGTTGCATAATGAAGTCTTTACTTTAATTTTTACCAATATATTTGAGTCCAGACTTGTGGTCTTGTAGTCAATTAAATTAGCAATGTCAACAGGTTACAAATGTTTTCTAAAAAACCCTTTCCTCTCTCATGTGGAAGGCCAAAATAGAAAAGTAGCTAACAATAGCAATGTATGATGAAAATACAATCATTAATATGAAAAATAATCAATTGTGACTTACCCAAAGTTCCTCCGAACTCCTGTTCTGTACTGTTTGAAGGTCTGTGTTTGGTTTCCTTACTGTTGGGCTCCATTGTTGAAATCTTGAGTAAAAAAAAAAAGTAATTAGACCAAGTTTGGTTAGAAAATCGTGTAATTAGTCATTTAAACATGTTATGGTTTGTTTATTGTGCTGAAATAAATACATTTAGCAATGGTTAATAACATAATGTTTAAAACACGTAAATTTAAACTTTGAACAAATCCTTTAAATAATGCGGCGTTGAATTTACCGAACGTCTGTTCATCTCTATTATATTGAAATAAAACGAAAATATGTTCACTCAGTAAGCTACTTCAAATTGTTGTCTACTGTTGGCTACATTTAAAAGCATTAATTGTTGGACGAAGATACTTTGGAGGTGGCTGTGAATGTAATAATTACGTGTGTACTACTACTAATACCTGTACATTAGTTACAGTTACCTGTACACTAGCTAGTTATCGAACTCTTGTGTCCAAAGTTCAGTCGTTCACCTTCACATGACACGTTTGACATAAAGCTAGAGTACAAAGCAAATGTATTTAATGTAAAAACGTGTAAAAACTTACCAGAGTTCAGAGAGAATTTGCAGACGTTACAAGTTTTAAATGTAATTCAGAGATATCCATCCAGCAGCCTATGTAGACAGAAACGTCCCAGCATACGTATAACGGAAGAACTGCCTCTTGGCCAATCAAATCTCACGCACATCATCAGAAGAGGGCGGAGACAAAACAGGTGAGCCAATAGAATTAGCTCCTCAGGTGGCGACAGTCGACAGAAAGAAACACTGAGGATGTGCAGAGGCCCCTAGGTTGTCTTAACTTGCTTTTAATTCACATTACAACAAAAATTATATATATATTCAAACAAAATATATCCCCATATCATGAAATTAAGTTCAAATAAATATTTTTAAACATGTTTATCGTGTGTAAGGCATGCACAGCAAACAAACTGCACAAGTCACATTAGTGTTACAAATAAATAAAAATTGGTCACCATTAACAGATACTAGAGATATTAAAACATGATTAACAATAGTCCCCACCTTGTTCTTCAATCACTTTACATTTTTGATGTTTTAATATTTGACAATCATTTTAATTTAATTTAATGTTAATATGCTTTTCCAGTTGAATATTTAAGGGTTTAAAAGTTGCACTTAAATATATCAATACATTTCCAGTTGAATATTTAAGGGTTTAAAGGTTGCACTTTAATATTAAATCAATACGTCAAATGTTGTATGTTATTTGTGTTTTTTTATATACAACTTTTTAAATTTGTTTTGAAATTACTTTTTTAAAACTTTTTATTAAAATCATCGTGATATGCTAGTTTTGCTATTAATTTACTAAAATATCCAAAAAAAGAAAGGCCAATCTAACAACTTTTACCCCAACTAATTTCCTCAAACATCTTTATTAATTAGTCATCTGGAAGTAAAAAAAAAAAGACCTTTACAAATAAAATACTTGTGTTCCAGAGAGAAATTACTGAGCTTCACAGAGACTACTTTAATAAAGAAGCAGAATACTTTAAGCCTTAACCACGTTCACAGATTACCTCAATTACACTCTGCTCCATTGGAGCAGGATCTAGGCAGCGGTGAGCAGAGCTGCATACTATCTCATCCAGCAGGAAGTGAACGAGGTTCTCGTCTGATACAAAGCGCCACAGGTACATCTGTAGGTAATGACAGTCCACCTGGATCTGCTGTAGGCCGTAGCGGCCAAAGGTGCGCAGGCGAACACATTCCAGGAACGTCTTTAGACTAATTTTGATGATCCCTGTCATCACAGAAACCTGATATGTTGGAGGGAGAGACTGTTATTGTAACAGAAGATCAGGTCACAATTTTGACGGCTTGTGAACCGACGGTCACCTACCTTGTTAAATTCCACTGAGCTAAAGATGTCTATCCTCTCAGAGAATAGCTTGTGGATGTTGCTCAGTAGATTTGTATCAATAGGAGCACTGCAGAAAAATCCCAAATGGGAGTGGAAAAAAAGATAGATAGCTAAGATAGCTAGATAGATAGAACTCTATTAATTCCTTGGGAGTTCCCTTTGGGAATTTAGGAATTGACAGATTTTTACTAAAGAAAATATGAGCCAATGAACCACCTTTTGACCTTACTTTGCTGAAGTAAATACAGTAAAAAGTCTCATACCTTGGAGTGTAGCTGGCAGCATAGCGTGCTTGTTGCCTGGAGCTGCTGTAGACAGAGAAAGTCCTTTTGCTGGAGTCACTGCTGTGCGCTTTCCTCACACCTTCCTCATATAAAAGACCGACCTGCAGCAGAGCACACGGCGTTGAAATAAACAGTCTGGCTCTGCACAGTGAATAGAGCTGAACTGCGGCGATGACGCAAAGATTCACCTGCACGTCAATTGAAGTTGTGTCCTCCACGACTCTCTTCATCACAGCTCGAACATTTCGAGGCTCAATGGTGTTGACCCAGTCTCGTGTTTCCACGCTTTTTCTCAGCATCTGAGAGATGATCAGACCTTGAACCTGCAAAAAGAAACGTTATAAAAAGGGCCAAGAAAGCAAGCAAAGAATTATCTGATAAAGACAGGTAATACCAAATACCCCAACATTATATACAGTCTATCGTTGTGACTTAGGGGCAGCCTGAGTTTGACTGTTTGATGCATGAAAAACACGTTTTTTTCTTATCTTATTAAATGTGTCGTGATAAAATAAAAACAAATATTCTCAATAGGGAATAGAGATTGATAAATAATTCACTATGAAGAAAGCTATGTTTGTGAAGGATTTGTCCAGAGTATTTACATACAATCTGATATTTACTGAATGATTACCTTGACATAATGGTTAAGTAATTTCTGGGCCGCCTCCCTGGCTTCTGCGCATAAGGCTGTGACAGGCGTCACAGGACTGTGGTGCTGAGAAAGAAGGAAAAGAGGACACTGGCAAGCGTGTTTGGGCTGCGGAAATACTTTTGCTTTTAAATATGTTTTTCATGAATAATATGTAGTGTTCCATAACATGTATAAGACCTGTACAAGGAACTGTTCGTCAGTCAGCGTAAGTATGTAGGAGATGGTGGACGTTTCATAGTCCAAGCAGAGGCGAGATAGCAGCAACAGAAGCACCGGAGGAGTGGAACCACCTTTGTCTCCAGCACTCTCACAAAACTGGCGGGAGGATTGACACACGAACTTTATGAAGTTCACCACCAGGCTTTCACGGACGCCTTGACTGCAAAATTCGCCCTGCAAGGAAGAGAGAGACACACTTTAATCCCTATTGTAATGGATATCTCCACGGATTAAGAAGGAGAATGTAATCTAATTGTAATATCAGCATATGTGCAGTGTGACAAAGACACAGACGGACCCAATATGTTAATCTAAAGACAAGATTTTATAAGAACGGCATCGTGTCCTTAGTTAACTTTTGACACTTTGTAATTAGGGAAGAGAATTTGAAAGCATTTTAAGTCAAATGTGAACTAGCTTTTTGTTAATATTCAGAAATATTCATGTTTCAACACTGAATCATCCGGGCTGGAAGAGATTCATTTCATCATGTTTTTTTTTTTTTTTTTTTTTTTTATCTA